TAAACAAAGCTAATATAGGAAAATATTATTAGGTACATATATTTTATATACACTTGTGGTTTCATAGAAAAAATATTCTTTGAAAAATCCACAAATGAAATGCCATAGAAAAATATTCTTTAAAATATCCACTCTCGTGGTTTCCTTTAAACTATTTTCTTTAAAAATAAAAATTACAAACTTCTTATTAACCGTATTTTACCCTCCACCGTTTGGTGAATATACAAAACATCTTAAAGTGATCGGAGTATTTACAGGAGAAAACTTTGCCGTGGTAAATTAGCTGATAGGGGGGAAAGTGCCAAATTACGGGTACATATGTTGGAAAATTGGACTAGGACTAGGAAAATTTGACTAGGAAATTTGCGTGAAATCCCCAAAAGTGTCAATAAGTTGATGTACCGTTATATGGGAACTATACCAAATTGTGTGCCGATATTAAATATTTCGTGTAGAATGATTTGAATCCAAAAAGATCCCAATTTATCAAATTAGAGCCAATTCATTTGAAAAATATTTCCATTAGGTTTAAAAAGCATCCTAAACTCTTTAAAATACCGAAATTTGGGAAGTGTCATTATATGGAGGCTACCTTAAAAAGTGTTCCAATATTGATCATTTTGGTAGGAAGAACCCAGAATATCAAATTGAAGTCAATTCGTTTGAAAGACGTGATCCAAACACAATGACACAATTCCATATTTGAACAACAAAGTCCATCATTTAATCGTCATTGAAGAAAGTTTTTTAAATGGTGATCTTTGAAAAATTGTTCTTCGAAAAAAACCCACGCCTATGAAAAAAAAAACATTCTGTATAAAAACCTCGTCCAAATTCACGCCTTTCGGTTGTCTATGAAAAAATATTCTTTAAAAAATCTACGCCTTTTGGTGGTCCTTGAAAAATTAATTTCTCGAAAAAATTAGTTTTTAAAAAATCCATTTGGTCCTTTAGCCTTTTGGTTGTCCTTGAAAAAATATTTTTTAAAAAAATCCTTTTTGTCCTTTGGCCTTTTAGTGGTCCTTGAAAAATATTTTTTTTAACAAATCCACACCTCTTGGTGGTCCTTACAAAATTTATTTTTTAAAAATCCTTTTGGTCCTTTGGCCTTTTAGTAGTTCTTGAAAAAATTAGTTTTTAAAAAATCCATTTGGTCCTTTGACCTTTTGGTTGTCCTTGAAAAAATATTTTTTAAAAAATCCTTTTGGTCCTTTGGCCTTTTAGTGGTCCTTGAACAAATATTCTTTAAAACATCCACACCTCTTGGTGGTCCTTGAAAAAATATTCTTTAAAAAATCCACGCCTTTTGGTGATCCTTGAAAAAATATTCTACGCCTTTTGGTGGTCCTTGAAATAATATTCTACGCCGTTTGGTGGTCCTTGAAAAAATATTCTACGCCTTTGGGGGTCTTTGAAAAATATTCTTAAAAAAATCCACGCCTGTTGGTGGTCCTTGAAAAAATATTCTACGCCTTTTGGTGGTCCTTGAAAAATATTCTTTAAAAAATCCACGCCTGTTGGTGGTCCTTGAAAAAATATTCTACGCCTTTTGGTGGTCCTTGAAAAAATATTCTTTAAAAAATCCACGCCTTTTGATGGTCCTTGAAAAAATATTCTTTAAAAAATCCACGACTTTTGATTGTCCTTGAAAAAATATTCTTTAAAAAATCCACGCCTTTTGATAGTCCTTGAAAAAATATTCTTTAAAAAATCCACGACTTTTGATTGTCCTTGAAAAAATATTCTTTAAAAAATCCACGCCTTTTGATGGTCCTTGAAAAAATATTCTTTAAAAAATCCACGCCTTTTGATGGTCCTTGAAAAATATTCTTTAAAAAATCCACGCCTTTTGATGGTCCTTGAAAAATATTCTTTAAAAAATCCACGCCTTTTGATGGTCCTTGAAAAATATTCTTTAAAAAATCCACGCCTTTTGATGGTCCTTGAAAAATATTATTTAAAAACCCCACGTTGTGGCTCTGATGGTCCTTGAAAAATATTCGTTAAAAAATCCACGCCTTTTGATGGTCCTTGAAAAAATATTCTTTAAAAAATCCACGCCTTTTGATGGTCCTTGAAAAAATATTCTTTAAAAAATCCACGCCTTTTGATGGTCCTTGAAAAAATATTCTTTAAAAAAATCCACGTCTTTTGATGATCCTTGCCAAAATATTCTTTAAAAAATCCACGCCTTTTGATGGTCCTTGAAAAATATTCTTTAAAAAATCCACGCCTTTTGATGGTCCTTGAAACAATATTCTTTAAAAAAATCCACGCCTTTTGATGGTCCTTAAAAATATTCTTTAAAAAATCCACGCCTGTGGTGATCCTTGAAAAAATATTCTTTAAAAAACCATCGCCTTTGGTGGCCCTTGAAAGAAATATATATTTTTTCATATACATATATAATGATCCTTAAAAAATTATTTAAAAATTCACGGTTTTGTCCCCGTTGGTCGTTGAAAAAATGATGTGAAATTAAATATTTCTAAAAAAACTGTATTTAGACCACTAAATCCATTTTAATAATTTTGTTTATTTTTTTTTTGTTTGAAAATGTGTATTAAAATTATTCATGCGCAACATTTCAATAATTTTCTCCACTGGAAAATAAAACCTGAACCCCACAGCTAAAAGAGATCGCAACAGGTATTTGATCTGTTTTAATCGGTTTGTGTGTTCTATTGTGGCTGTTAGCAATTTTGTATAATTTGTTCTACTCGAATTTGATTGACGACTAAAGTGAACAATGAGATTGTGTGTTTATAAACGATCATATTAAAACGTTTTGAAAACAAATCTATATAAAAAAGCTATGAAAACGCGTTGATAGAGATACAAAACAAAGTAAAACAGACATGCAAATATAGGCGCGCACAAATAAAGCCATATTTTTTGGCTGTTAACAATTGGATCAGCGGATGGTATTAAAACTCCAAATAAATTTCAATGACCTTCATCGCTTAAATAGCAACATTTTTATTTAAGGATTTTTTTTTAAAAAACATATGTACAATGTGAGGGTAGAATTTCCAAAATAATCTTTCAAAGAATCTACTCAGATTAAAAAAATAATATTTTTTCAAAAATCATGTTTTTTCAATCCAATTGCCTATTTTTAAAAATAAGAAAATAGTAAAATTGAATATTAAAAGGCAATTGTTAGCTCTAATAGCTTATCAAGGTATTCCCGTTAGTGATGTAATTATTTAATAAACTTAACTCTTTGTGAATTTTAAATTAATTGTTGAAATCCGCTTATTGATGTAAGAATTGCATGTTTCATGTCTTAAATTAATTAAATGCTGTAAATTTGTACTATAATCAGATATTCTCATAATATATTGGATGAAAACAAAATACTAAAAAAGTCTTTAGTCTGGAATAATAATAATTACAATATATGTTTGTTTAAAGATTATTAAAAATAAATTCAAGAAGTAATAGGTGGAAAAAGCTTTAAGTACGGCCGGGATGAACTTTGGATACCCTTCACCATAGGTATGCAAATAGATACTTGCAACGAAAATATAGGGAAAAAGTGGACCTATAACATATTTATGTAAACTATTATGTATTCAAAATACAAATTTCAGCAATTTTTAATGGGTATTCTCCTAAAATTTGAAAACTCCAAATCGTGGACTGATACTGATAACGCATGGTAGAGTATAAAATCCTCAAACTACTGCAATTTAGATTGCAAAGTTATATGAGACTATGTCTAAAGTGGGACCAAAATTGATTACAAAGTGTAGGAATTTGCGAATATTTGAGGTTATCATTATATGTGGGCAATGCCTAATTGATGACCGATATATGTCAATTTCGAACCCAATATTTGAACTCCTTAGAATTTCATAATTTTGTATTGTAAAAACTGACTATTTTGAGTAACTATGTTAGAATACATCAATATGGGGACAACCCCAACATACGGAACAAATCAGTTAACTATTTTCATATAGAAAATGTGTGGTTATGTTCGGTCGTGTTGAATTTTATATGGAGAGGCATGATTTTTGGTCTGATTGGTACATATTGGAAAACTAGGCTGGAAACTATTCTCTGAAAATCCACGCCTATGGCGATCTTTGAAAAAGTATGCTCTGAAAATCCACGCTTATGGCGATCCTTGCAAAAAATGCTCTCCGATAATCCACGCTTATGGCGATCCTTGAAAAAAATGCTCTCCCATAATCCACTCTTATGGCGATCCTTGAAAAAAAAATTCTCCGATAATCCACACCTATGGTGATTTTTGTAAAAATATTCTTTAAAAATCCACGCCAATGGCGATCTTAGAAAAAATATTTCCTAAAAAATTATTCTCGATTTTTGGGATTTGGAATATCCACTGCAGGACTTTTGAGGGAATTTTCGATTTTATGCATAATTTTTGAAAAAAAAAAACTCTAAAGTAACATTCAAAAATGGACAGAAAATAGGAAGCCATTTTTTTAAGTTTAAATAAAATTCGGGTGTTTGATCCGAAGTTCGGAAAATACTCTGAATACTTCGGAATGTTTTACTCGAAAATCGTAAAAAATTCTTTTGATTTTAAGGAAATTCTGATATTTATCGAGTTAATTTTCTATTGATATGTTTTTTTTTTTTGAAATTGCCCTTCAGAGTATGTGCAGATTACTCGGCAAGTAATCGACAAAAAACATGAGAAATCTCAGAAAGAAATTTGATATCAAAACCCTCGGCAAAAATTGTTAGCTGGGGTATTTATGTAAAAAAACACTAATGTTAACGAAATACAAAATAGATTTTTTTTAATTTTCTATATTTTATTTGATTTTACAATCAAAACATTGTAAAAATAATGTTCATTATATCTTTTATTTTTCCAGTAATCACCGCAAAAAACTGAACTTATCAAAAAATATGTAAACATCAACGGCAATAAAGCAATAACAACAACCAAAGACAATAGTCCACCTCTTCTCAGCACCTATAACCAAAGTGTGGTTATAACTGTTTTGGATAACCAAGAAAACACGGTATAACCATGAAATTCCTTAAAGCCACCATCAGTTTAAGTCAAATTCAGGCCATATTGCGCAAGGATTTCCTGGTGCGATGGCGTTTAAAGGTAAGTGATGCTGTAAATTGAAGGTAATTGTAGTTAATGGATTTATTTTTTTGTTATTTATTTTAGTGGCTAATTGCTTTACAAGTAATATGGCCAATGATCATATTTCTGCTGCCCTATTTGATACGTTTGAAATTTACTCCCGTTCACAATGATGCCTGCCAATTTCCAACGAGACAATTGCCCACCGCCCGCAATACCCTGCCCGGTATGCTGTCGTACATTTGCACCATTGAGAATAATTGCAAGAGCACGGATGTCTATGATGAATATGAATATATGGATAAGGCACCGTAAGTATTGGAGGGAGGGAATTATATGATAGTGGGACATCTTTAGGAAATTCTTCAAGTAGCGATCATTTTTGAAATAAAGAATATTCAAGGATCACCAAAGGCGAAGTATTTTTTAAAGAAGACTTTTGTCATGGATCACCAAAGGCGTAGATTTTTTAAAGCATATTTTTTCAAGGATCACCAAAGGCGTAGATTTTTTAAAGAATATTTTTTCAAGGATCACCAAAGGCGTAGATTTTTTAAAGAATATTTTTTTCAAGGATCACCAAAGGCGTAGATTTTTTAAAGAATATTTTTTTCAAGGATCACCAAAGGCGTAGATTTTTTAAAGAATATTTTTTCAAGGATCACCAAAGGCGTAGATTTTTTAAAGAATATTTTTTCAAGGATCACCAAAGGCGTTGATTTTTTAAAGAATATTTTTTTTCAAGGTTTCACGAGGCGTGAAGAGGCGTTGATTTTTTAAAGAATATTTTTTAAAGACCAACACAAGGCGTGGATTTTTAAAGAATATTTGTTTCGAGCATTATCTGAGGCGTGGATTTTTAAAGAATATTTGTTTCAAGGATCACCAAAGACGTAGATTTTTTAAAGAAGACTTTTTTCAGGGATCACCAAAGACGTAGATTTTTTAAAGAATATTTTTTCAAGGATCACCAAAGGCGTAGATTTTTTAAAGAATATTTTTTTCAAGGATCACCAAAGGCGTAGATTTTTTAAAGAATATTTTTTTCAAGGATCACCAAAGGCGTAGATTTTTTAAAGAATATTTTTTTCAAGGATCACCAAAGGCGTAGATTTTTTAAAGAATATTTTTTTCAAGGATCACCAAAGGCGTTGATTTTTAAAGAATATTTTGTTTTTTCAAGGATCACCAAAGGCGTTGATTTTTTAAAGAATATTTTGTTTTTTCAAGGATCACCAAAGGTGTAGATTTTTTAAAGAATATTTGTTTCAAGGATCACCAAAGACGTAGATTTTTTAAAGAATAATTTTTTCAAGGATCACCAAAGACGTAGATTTTTAAAGAATATTTTCTCAAGGATCACCAAAGGCGTAGATTTTTTAAAGAATATTTTTTCAAGGATCACCAAAGGCGTAGATTTTTTAAAGAATATTTTTTTCAAGGATCACCAAAGGCGTAGATTTTTTAAAGAATATTTTTTTCAAGGATCACCAAAGGCGTAGATTTTTTAAAGAATATTTTTTTTCAAGGATCACCAAAGGCGTAGATTTTTTAAAGAATATTTTTTCAAGGATCACCAAAGGCGTAGATTTTTTAAGGAATATTTTTTTCAAGGATCACCAAAGGGGTAGATTTTTTAAGGAATATTTTTTTTAAGGATCACCAAAGGCGTAGATGTTTTAAAGGATGTTTTTGCAGGGATCAGCAGTGGCTTGGATAATGTGGCCCTCTTTAGAAAAATTTTATAGTTTGCTGATATGACATAGAGACCGTATAAAGTTCCGGACCTTTTTAAAAAATTTTGAATGCATGAGGGGTGCATTCAAAATAAGAAGAACTATATACTTAAGCGTATAAGAAGAACTATATACTTAATTGTCGATATTTTTAATGCCCTAGCTACACTTATATATGTAGATTCATGGTTTGACATATCGGTCAATTTTCACAATTTAATATTTTGAAGGTTCTGATACCATTTTTGATTCCATAGTTAATTGTTTTACGTTTACAAAGCGATCGAATTTAATGACTTTTTTATTTGTTTTCGTTTTCAGTTTAAAACCCATTGTCGATGTGGTCCAAATTGTCATCAATGATGATGGAATGTTCAATGCCCTTATTGAATTACCGGAAAAGGCGACTTTTATAAATGCCGTCACAGCTATTGTTACAAATTCGCATTTTAATGAAATACGAAGTGAGTGTTTTTGAAATTTTATTAACAAAAATAAATATTTGTAAAAAACTAAATTTAATTTATTTTTAGCAAATATTGAAAAGGTAATAAATATGGTGCCAGAAGTGGAGCGAGCTCTGAATGGCAGTTTTGATATAAAGAAATTATTTTCAAGTAAGTAATTTTGAAGAAAGATTTTTTATGCCCTACACCACACTGTAATACTGGGTATTATGTCATTGTCCACATGCAAAAGGAAACGTTTATAATAGTTTTTTTGAGATTATACATCGAATCACTTTCTGAGGCGATTTATACAGGTCTGTCCGTCCGTTACAATTTTTATTGTATTATTTGGCCTAAGGACATGCCCTATTGAAATTGGGGCAAATCAGTTCAGATTCAGATATATATATATATATATATTTGTTGAGCGATTTTACTTAAATGCTGCAGCAAATACCTAATTTTTGGTCGATTGCGACGAAATTTTGCAAATGAGACTAGAATAAAGTTTATTAAGTTTTATTGAAATCGATCCCGATTTATATATAGCTGCCATATATATTTTCATCCGATTTAATGCACATTTTGCACCAAATACCCTATGTTTGTACGATTGTGATGAAATTTTGCATAACCTACCGAATTAAGCTTAGAAAGACTTGTGTTGAGTTTTATTGAAATCGGTGAAATTTGGATATAGCTTGGTCCGATTTCATCTTAATGGTACACCAACTGTCCTAAGTTTGTCCGAATGTTACGAAATTTGGCACAGCGTACCGAATTAAGTCGATAATTGGCTGTATTAAGTTTGGTTGAAATCGGTTCAGATTTCTATATAGCTCGCATATATAGTTTCGTCCGATTTCTTATAAATGCTGCACCAAACTCACAAAGTTTCTTCGATTACTACGAAATTTTGCACAGCATACCAATTGTTCGATTTATACGAAATATTTCACGGTGTACCGAGCTTAGTCTAAAATTAATTATGTCAAATTTGATTGAAATCAGTTCAGATTTGGATATAGCTCCCATATATATTTTTATCCGATTTCTTGTAAATGGTTCACCATACTCACGATTTCATTTTCATATTTTCGCACGATTTCATAGAAAATGTGCACCTAAGTATAGTAATTTATCCGATTCTTACGAAATTTTGCATAGCTTATCAAATTGAACCTAGACTGATGTATATTAAATTTTGTCGAAATCGGTTCAGATTTGGATAAACCTCTCATATATATTTTCTACCGATTTCACTTAAATGTTGCACCAAATATTCTGAGTGTTACCGATTGCGACGAAATTTTGCACAGCTGACCAAATTGTACATAAAAAGACTTGTGTTAAGTTTTGTTGAAATCGGCTCAGATTACGATATAGCTCCCATGTATATTTTCGCCCGATTCCATCTTAATGGTACACTAACTATCCTATGTTTGTACGAATGTTACGAAATTTTGCACTGCGTAACGAATTAAGTCGACAAATTGATGTATTCAGTTTGGGTGACATCGGTTCAGATTTAGATATAGTTTCGTCCGATTTCTTATAAATGGTGACCCAAACTCACAAAGTTAGTCCGATTGCGATGAAAGTTCGCACAGCTTATCGAATGGAGACTAGAAAGACTTGTGTTAAGTTTTATTGAAATCAGTTCAGATTTCGATATAGCTCCCATATATATTTTCACTGATTTCATCGAAAGAGTACGCTAAACATCGAATGTTTGTCCAATCTTGACTAAATTTTGCACAGCGAACAAAATTGAGCTCAGAATGGCCTGTTTGAAATCGATTCAGATATGTTAGAGTAGGGTATTATATATTCGAACCCATTCGACTTTGGTCTTCTTCTTCCTTTAGGTTATAAAATTAATTATATATTTTTTATATAATTCAGATCGTGAAACCTTCGTTAAAGCTGGCAATTTGGTGTGCGGTCATCCTTTTCCCAGTATTGATACAATACCATTGGTTTCGGAGATTTTAGAATCGGAAGATTTCAGTAAATCCAATGATGACGAGTTAAATGCAATGCCAAGTAAGCAAAATCCGATAAGAAATTGAAATTATATTACATTCATAATTTTCTCGAAACAGCACCCTATTGTAAAAAATTATATTTGGATGTGACCAGTTCGAATTATGGCAAAATTACCTGGGATGTTGTGAAGCCAATAATACAGGGCAAAATTCTGTTTGCTCCCAATACGGAGGATACCAATTCAATTATGGCCATGGTAATATATACATATAAAATTATTTAAAAAACTTGGAAATTGGGAAATATGATTTCCTCTTAAAAAAGAATAACATGGGAATTCACCTTCATTATTTGAAGAAGAGAGAATTTACATTTCCCAAAATTTTTATAATTTTTTTGAAATTCCTTTATGATATATTAAAATTGTATTTATTCTTTTTCAGTCCAATTCCACATTCGAAGAATTTAATCGTTTGAAAATGCTATCCGTCGCATTTCAACAAATATTGACAAAGCTCAAGGAACCTGGTAGCTTCCAGGAGGCATTCGAATCCCTGTTGGCCTTGGCAAAATCACCCTTTGTGCGCAAACTAATCGGCGATGAATTCGATTTGGATGAAGTGGAAAAAGTGGTTAATCGCATACGTACCGATCCGGTGGTCTATGATGTCATTAATACTGTAAAAAATCTCTTGGAATGCTTCTCGGTGGATCGTTTCCTCGCTTTCGACACGGAAGATGAATTACGCCGCCATGCTTTCGATTTGAATCAACAGCGATTATTTTATGCTGCCATTTATTTCAATCAAACTGAAACGGAAAATGTTTCCTATAAACTGCATATGGATACGCAAAATACCCAACCCACCATTGAGAATAGAAATCGTTTTTGGTTCCCCGGACCCGCTGGTTCAATGCTGTTGGATTTGAAATATCATCGGGGTTTTGTGCAGATTAAACATTCCATTGATATGGCCATCATCAAGCATAAAAAGGAGAAGCTACAGAAGTTGGGGATATTGGCTGCACCCACCCCGCCACCACCAAGTGGTCCTCTATTCAATGTTGAAATTGAAACCGGTGATGAAGAAGACGATGAGGATGATGACGAAGAGGAAGATGATGATGAATGGTTTACAAATTCCAATTCCACCACAAATCCAAATTCAACACAGGCTGCCAATAAGAGTATGATATCATCGATTGTATCGGGAATCCCCATGAACACAGTGCAACAAGAAACCACAATTTCACCCAATAATGAAGATTTATTGGCTGAGATAACCACTGAAGCTATGGAGGCAGAACCCGCCACTACCATCCTACCCAATTTTTCAAATGATCTATCACAAAATGAAAATGTGTTGCGGAGACAAAAACGGCAAGGTTTGGCCGACTTGTTCTCCAGTTTCGGCTCGGCAAATCAAGAACAAAATAATTTCCAAATTGATCATTTGAAATATTTTACAAAACAATTTCCCTATCCTGCCTACACCAGAGATGAGTTAGTTCTTCAAAAATTTTAATACATTGAAATATATTTTAAATCTAATTTTTATGTATTTATTTTAGTTTCAAAACTGGTCTCTATTTGGCCCAGGCCATTCAACTGGCCTTCTTCATTGGCTTGGTGGCACAAATTGCCGCCAGTGTGAGGCATTTAATTTGGATGCGGGAATCGAAAAATTCAATGGTAAATATTCAAATAAACTACTAAAATGAGAAAGTTTAAAATTTTTTCTCTCATGAGAGAATTTTCTTGGAAAAACTTTTTTCTATCATGATATAATTTTCCAATAGAAAAAGTTTTTTCTCCCATGAATGATATATCTTTTTATATAGAAAAAATTAAGGACTAAGAGAGGAAAACAATTTGTCTCCCCTGGGAGAGACTTTTTCTATAGAAAAAATGTGTTCCCCTTAGGATAGACTTTTTTCTATAGAAAAAAATTGTCTCCATTGGGAGAGATTTTTTCTATAGAAAAAAAATGTCTTCCCTTGGAGAGAATTTTTCTATAGAAAAAAATTGTCTCCCCTGGGAGAGACGTTTTTCTATAGAAAAAATTTTGTATCCCCTGGGAGAGAATTTTTCTATAGAAAAAAATTGTCTCCCCTGGGAGAGAATTTTTCTATAGAAAAAAATTGTCTACCCTGGGAGAGAATTTTTTTATAGAAAAAAAATTTCTCCCCTGGTAGAGACTTTTTTCTATAGAAAACAAATTGTCTCCCCTGGGAGAGACTTTTTTCTATAGAAAAAAAATTGTCTCCAATGGGAGAGTCTTTTTTATAGAAAAACATTTTTCTCCCCTGGGAGAGACTTTTTTATAGAAAAACATTTTTCTCCCCTGGGAGAGACTTTTTTCTATAGAAAAAATTGTCTGTTTTTTATTAGAAAAAATTGTCTCCAATGGGAGAGTCTTTTTCCTAAAGAAAGGTATTTTTCTATAGAATCAAATTTGTGTCATTTTTCTGGGAGACATTTTTTTCTCCTAGACAAAATTTTCTTTATAGAATCAAATTTGTGTCTCTATGGGAGAAATTGCTTTCTATGCGAAAAAATATCGCATCTTTGAAGACAACATTTTCTAAAAAAATGTCTTCTTTTTTTCCAGATCATGCGTGCCATGGGCTTGAAATCCTGTTCCGAATTGGCCTCCTGGTGTATGGTGACTTTCCTAGAAATGCTGTTTATATTCATATTGATTTCCATAATTCTCTATTCTGGTGGCATGGTAGTCTATACTAGATGGCTATTCGTCATGATTTATATTTGTCTGTTCGGAGCCTGTCTGATATCTTTCTGGTAAGGCAATGAGTTTTTTTGTTTCCACAAAGTAAAAATTGTTAAATATTTATCTCTCCCTTTCCAGTTACATGTGTTCGACATTTTTCAATAGTGCCACAATTGGTGCTGTGGCCACCACTGTGCTCTTCTTCATCAGCTTCTGCCCGTATATCATCGTCTTGATCTTTGATGCCCAATTGAATTCGTTGCAAAATTTCCTCATCAATCTTTCTTTTACCACTGCCTTTTCGCATGGCTGGAGTCACATCATGCGTATGGAGTTGCAAGAGGTTGGTCTGAGTTTTGAGGCAGCATTCCGTGAGGGCCTGCGCGGAGAGTATGGTTTCTCATTTTTCATGTTAGTATTGGATTTGTGTCTATATGCCATTATTGGTTACATACATCAGAGATTTAAGGATGGTAAGTGAAGAAATCTATTTTTCAGATAATATTCGGAATCTGAAATTATGTAACGAAGCTAAGGGTTTTTAGAAAACTTCTAATTCCCTTCGATTTCCTTTACTCCTTTCAGATGACAATCGTTTTGTTGAGGTCCAACGTGAAGAATTGGACTCCACTGTGGGCGCTACTCTTACCAATGTTACGAAAATCTATGGTGAAAATAAACATGCCGTTAGCGACATTTCCCTTTCATTCTTCAGAGATAAGGTTACATGCCTTTTGGGTCGCAATGGTGCCGGAAAAAGTACCATAATGTATGTATTGCTATAAAATTTCATTTTGATTCTGAAAATTAACTATTTTCTCTTTTGTTTAGCAAAATGTTAACCGGTCAAGTTGTCCAAACCACAGGAAGAGTTATTCTCGCCCAGGCCATGTCTCGTGGCAACGATTATGATAAAGTCGGTGTTTGTGCCCAGGACAATATTTTAATACCCAATTTAACGGCCCGTGAACATTTAGAGCTGTATGCGAAAATTAAATTGAAGCGAAATTACCAATCGGAAGTTGAGAAAACCCTGAAAGATTTGAATTTTGGCAAACATGAAAACTATCAAGCCTGTCAATTGTCTGGTGGTTATAAGCGCCGATTGTGTGTGGCCATTTCGTTTATTGGTAAGGAAATGTAAACATATATTTATATAGATTTAAAAAAAATAGTTGACGACCTTCAAAATATCTAAAATATCAAGTAAACAACGTTGTTTGGTTCAGCCCAGCCGAACTTTTTATACCCTTCACCACGGTGTGCATTAAAATGTTCTTTAATCGGTCAGGAGCATTATATGGGGACTATGTTATTAAATTATGTCGCTCATGTTTAGTGTTCAAAATTACGGACATTCAGGTCAGGAAACTGGGGTATTAACTTCAAGATACCGAAATTAAACGGGACAATGCAAAGCATAGACTGATACCGAAAAATATCTAAAAATATGTTGTATGTCAATGGGATAAACATTGCCAGTATGGTATTCCATTTACATAACATCGGTCGAAACTATATATGGGAGATATATCTAAATTTGAACCGATTTCAAGAAAATTTTGCGGACGTCAACATGCAGTAATTTCAGGACGCTGTGTAAACAAAACTTCACGGGCGTAAACCTGCAGAATTTCGTCTCAATTGGACAAACATTGACAGTGTGGTGCACCATTTACAAAAAATTGGAGGAAGCTATATCTAAATCTGAACCGATTTCAACAAAACTTCGCATACATCAATCTGGACAGAATTCAGTACCCTGTGCATAATTTTTCTCAATCCTTGTGCCAATATTGATCATTTTTGGTAAAGCGATTTTGTACTCAATGATAATCGATAATATAAAATTACAAACCATTTTATTCGACCTGCTCATTCAATGGTATTCTCATCTCCGCAGTCCATGTGGTGAACAATGTGGCCGACGTTTCGTGGCAAGATAGGCAACCCTACACATATGTCCTCAACTCCATACGTAACGATCTCGATGCCATCTGGTGGGCGTGGAATACCTTAAAGGTAGCCCAGAAAGGAATGCCCAGCTTCATACTACGAGTTTGGACTTCTTATTCCGGAACTCCACGTACGATTGGCGTTCACACATAAAGTTGATTGTCCAACGTTTCAAACTAGGCCGGAGGGAAGTATTCTCGATGTCCTCAGATAGTATGGCATGCTTTACTGTATCAAAGCCTTTTGATAGGTCAAGCGCTACCAACACTGTTTTATGACACGGCAGGTTCTGGTTAAGTCCTCGACTTATATGTGTGGAGATGGCGTGCAACATATACATGGATATTCCTTCGGGGCCCAACGCTTTAGTGGCTTTACGGATGCCACATGCAACATCACCTACTGTAAACTGTGGTGGTACCTCCTCTGCGGAAAGAGATTTTATACGACGTAGTATTAATAATTTAGGTATCATTTCGGGTATTCGACCAGCAGGTATAAATAGCGGCTGCCGCTGTAATAATGTCCTGGAAGAGATGTTGAAATCCGGCAGTCTGCTTTTGGGAACCAAGAGAAATTACGGGCTTCCAGATTACGTCATTTATCAGACTTCGTGACCCAATGGTTATGTCTCTTCACTCATTCCCCTCTGGTTATTACCTATTCCCCTCTGGTTATTACCTAGGACGGAATGTCACAAGCATGGTGGGCATTGAAATTCCCTGGCACCAGACCGTTATCGACCTCCAATAGGAAACTAATGTTGGGCAAATAACGCGGTTCACAGATATTAATCATTCCATCTATGGGTCGCTAGAGTCAAGCCCAACCTGTCTTGAACAGAGTGGTGCATAAGAAATGCACACCACCACTTCTGGTGCGATCCTTCATCAGAACGTTGTAAACATCACAACCCTCACATTCCCGGATATCCACATATAGCCATCTGATATCTTCATATTTCATCGATAATGGGGCCCGATGCAATGATCGTACAACCATCCGCATATATTACAATCTCTACGCCGTCCAATGGTTGTGGTATTTTAGAATAGTATATGTTAAACAGTTCCAGAGATATGACCGTCTTTGGTGAACTAAATGTTTCATTATTCGGACATTTTCCTTATTTGCTTCTGAAATCCACATATGCTAGACTTCTCTAAGTCTTCGAATAGTTTTACGTGATTGACAGTATCGAAGTCTTTCGATAAGTCATAAACCACCAAAGTGTTATATTATAAGACTTGTTTCAGAGTGAGGAGTAATGATCTCCGGTGAATATTTCGAGGTGTTGCTAACATAATTGCAAATTTAATCCACCAACACGTCTATTTAAAAATGCCCCTTTATATTTTCAGGATCTCCAAATGTGGTAATTCTAGATGAACCATGCAATGGTGTGGATAATAAAGCTCGCAAAGATATCTGGGATTTAATTGAACGTCTGCGCAAAGGAAGAGCAGTCATCTTTGCCACACATTTTCTGGATGAAGCAGAATATCTTAGCGATGTAATTGTTATTATGAAGAACGTAAGTATCCCCCATAGGATATTCTAATATAATCCTCTAATCTCCTCTTTTCATTTCCAGGGAAAAATAATTGCCAAACATAATCCGGAGACATTGAAAAATCATTGTACCTCCTTCTATGAGGTTAGCATGAATAGCTGTGATTCTCAAACATCGGAAGCGGTGGTCGATAAGGCCAATAAACTACTGACGAACTTCAGACAATTAGAAAAATCATCAGCGGCCGATTTAAGTTTACGTGTTTCCTATGATCAAATGAATCACAACTCCTCTGAATATCTTTCGTATTTGGAACAAATGCAAGGTGATGGTCGCATCAACGATTTAAGTGTTGAATCTGAAAATTTGGAACATGTTTTTAAGAATCTAGATAAAAAACATAGCAATGGTGTGGTGATGGGATGTCATCACAATAATGGCAACTCATCATCGGGAGATTTAATGAAAAATATCAAATTGAAGCGAGAATTGGGTTGGAATATGGTCAGCAATGAACCACTGTCCAAGTGGACGGCAATGCGTCAGCTATTCTGGAAACGTTTGGTCCATTTCAGTCGCAATTATCGTATGTTGGTGTGTGTCATTGTGTTGCCGGCAATTTTTGAAATTCTTGCCATGTGGTTTGTCTCCCAACGTCTGGAGGATGATTATGATAAGACAATAAAATTATCGCGTGATTTATATCCGAAGACAACACAATTTTTGAGCATGGAAATACCAATGAACTTTACTCAGGATGTCTATGCGCGACTGAAAGAAAATTGTCCAGCAGGGGCAGATTTAATGTGTAAAGAATTTCCAAATAGTCAGAAATCGTTCTATTGGGTTTTGAAGACGCTCAATGATTATCAGGAGAAGCGATATGGAGGTTATACCTTTAACGAATCGAAGTCTATGGTGTGGTATAACAACAAGGGTTATCATGCCATGCTGGCGTGGTTGAATGACATGAATTCGCATATGCTGCAAGTTGAAACGAATAATACGAACTACAGGATATCGGCATATAATGAACCATGGGAATTGGGTTTCCAGGAATTTAGTACAACATCAATGTAAGTCCGAATTTTAATATTTTTTAAAGACATTTTACTATAACTTTCTCTCTCTTTAGCTTACGCCAAGCCGGTGATTCTTGTTTGGCATTTATTCTCCTAATCGCCTATTCCATGATTGTGGCTGTGGCCTCGGTATATTTAGTCAATGAACGTGTTAAGGGTGAGAAGTTACAACAGAGGTTATGTGGTGTCGATGCTGTTACCTATTGGTCCGTGGCCTTTATATGGGATTTTATGGTATTTGAAATTATTTAGATTTTCAAAATATGGTTTTTATTTAGTTTTTTAATTTTTAGATTCTGATATTGGGCATATTGGTTTGCTGTTCTGTCATCTTGGCCTTTGACATGCCCGTTTTTACGGATCGTCAACAATTATGGGGTATTATTGTACTGGGATTATTCTTTGGGTAAGTTTTTAAAGCATTTTGTAGAGGCGTGGATTTTTAAGAATATTTGTCTAAGGGTTGGCTTTTTTTATATAATATTTTGCTAAGGGTTATCAGAGACGTGAATTTTTTAAAGAATATTTTTCTAAGGGTTTCCTTCCTCACTTCTTCTAAAACCAGAAAATCAACAATGAACATTCATCAGATTGAAAAGACTCTAACTGATATAATGCCATAGTAGTATAAATATAGGAACCCATTACACATAATCAATAGAAATGGTTCAAACGTTTGCCCCTAGTTGGCGCTGTTCTTATTTTTATGTAGTCTAGACACACATCAACTATGGTGAAATGCCGTACTAGATCGAAAATTTAATAAAGATATGTGGATGGCGTTCCGCATATGATTTATATTATTCAATAAAAAAAAAATACCTGGAGTAAATCGCTTATACACCTAAATGTCAATAAAATTCTATGCACTCTCGAAGGGTTAACAAATCGTCCAATGTATTTGTTTGGGAACAATAGGAAATTTCAGACAAAAACAGGGCAGAACTTTAGACCTGGACTAATAAAAATATTGGCGTGGATTTATAAAATACTTGTGATAGGATTTTGGGCTCTGATTTGTTGATAATCATAATTTATTAGATATTTTTATACCCACTCAACAGGACTTTCCAAATTAATTTTCATTTTTATATGTTATTCAATTTACAGATTCGCCTGCATTCCGGGAGTACATGTTTTCGAAAAATGCTTCAACGATTCCAGTGTCTCAATTGTGGGAATATTCATTATAAATGTGATTATACCTCTCTTCACCCTTTCCACAGTGGTGTTACTCGGAGTTGTTGGTGATTCACCGGCATGGGATGATTGGCGACATTTCCTCAATCACCGACTGTTTATTATATTCCCCCAGCATGCTTTGGCCGATGGTCTATTGGAATTGTGTAAAAATTATATGGTTGCCTTGACATTTAAACGTTTCGATATTGACTCCTATAAGAATCCGGTCAACAGTGATCTGCTGCAAGCGCATTATACATCTCTCTTTATTGTGGGTGTATTCTTTTTGGTCTTAAATGTTCTGCTAGAAAGTGGCTTGCTGGGTGATTGGAAAGAAATGCTAATGGAACATTTACAATGCCTGGGATTGGAAAAATCTAAACAATTCGATGAACTGAAAGTTATATCAATACAAAATTCCCTAAAACGTAATGATAAAAATACTGTAAGTGCTCTTAAGGTGGATAATTTAAGTAAGAAATATGCCGGACGCAGTCATTATGCTGTATCGAATGTAACCTTTGCGGTGCAACATGGTGAATGTTTTGGATTGTTGGGAAAAAATGGTGCTGGTAAATCGACAATTTTCAAAATGCTCTCGGGGCAATTGAGACCCACTTCGGGTAGTATTGTCTATGAAAATGTAAGTGATGATTTGTTTTGAAATGAAAGAATGAATAATTTTTTGTTGTTTTTCTTTTAGCCGGAAATTTCTTATTGCCCTCAAACAAATACGTTGGATGATTTGTTGACCGTTCGAGAATGCATTGAATTCTATGGACATTTAAGGCGTATCACTGATTTGCCGAAGGTAAGTTTTGTTCTTTGAAAACATCCTATATTTATATTTAAAACGTTGAAATATGAATGACGCCATCTAATAACAATTGGTTAGTGATCAAAATGTATTACGGAACTTCACCACCACTGATGTGTGTCTAGACTACATTGAAAAATAAGAACAGCGCCTAGGTGGGGCAAACATTACAACTATTTTTTATTGCTCCTGTGTAATGCGTTCTCATATTTACCCTACTTGTGCTTTATATTGGACATATAAAAGGTCTGTGGATTTTGTTGTAGTTTTGAATCTGTAGACTTTGCAAGGGACTATCAAATGTCTCCCAGAAGGTTTATTGTTTTTGACTTTGGAGGTGTAATGAAACCCATATTTACCCTACTTGTGCTTTATATTGGACATATAAAAGGTCTGCGGATTTGGTAGACGACCTTCCATTTGGACATTTGTTAACACTTCTAGAAGATATTTTAAAATAAGAACCACTCCTAGAAGCCCTATGTTTAAAAGTCATGTGTAATAGCGATAAAAGTCTTATAAAACCCCATTTCTCTTTAAACTACTTCTAACAGGTTCCCCATCACTAAAAAATCTTCTCAGTTTCTATGTAGACCGAAGACTTTTTATTAAGACATTTGAATTGGGGTTATTATTTTAAGTTAAGAACCTCTACTAGAAGTCCGAAGAAAATCGTTCAGCTTTAGAAGCCATGTGTAATGGCGATGAATTAGGTATTTTAATATAGGAAAAACCTCTGAAGGGGAAATTCACATAAGGTTTTCTACCTGTAGAGAAGTCTTCTTGAAGTCCTCTGGAGAAAAAAGATCTGTATGGTCTTCTACCTCTAGAGAAGACCACTTAAAGCATGGAAGAGATCTTTTGTCATTACAAGTAGACTAAAGGAGGATCCTTTATTTGATAAGCATCAGGATTTTTTCTATGTGCAGACTATGGTATTCTGTTTTTAGAAGGATTGTAGCAGGTATATATCTATCGGGAGCATCTAAATGGCTTTTTTTTATCAATAGATGGATTTATAGATCCAATAGAGTGCCATGGAAGGTTGTCTGCCTCTGAATACCTCTAGAAGAATCTCAATTTACAGAAAATGTCTGGTTGTGAGTCATTCGATGTTATTGCGTCTTAAGAAATATCTGAATGTTGTTCCGCCTTCTGAAACACTCAAAAAGATCTCCCATTTATAGAAGAAAGATCTTGTCTTCTATATGATTTCCAAGCTATTTCCTACCCATTGGCGTATACTTTTTTGGAAAATGTATACGCCACCAGTTCTTCCAAATCTTTGTGAATAGTGCGTATACTTCACGACAACACTTATACGCTCTATAGTGGAAAATTTTTATATTCTATATAGAATATAAGGTCATATATATTCTATATGCAACAGACATTGAAGATTTGCCTTAGTATAAGAAAATAAAATGTAAAATATCTATAAAACCCCTGCATGCCTCTATTTTGCTATTTTACGTAATTGCTTTATTCATTCTAATTATTTTCTTTCTTCCCCTCCCGAACAGCTCGTCAATAGCATTCTCGAATCATTCCAATTGGAGGCATATCGTGATGTTTTGGTGAAAAATCTTAGCGGTGGTAATCGTCGTAAGCTGACTGTGGCCACATCCTGCTGTGGTCGCACTTCTGTTGTGCTTATGGATGAACCAACTAGCGATATGGATCCTGTTACCAGGGCTTTTGTATATCGCACAATTGATGATTTATTGGCTGAGAAGAGAGCCATTGTTTTGACATCACATTCTATATCAGAGATAGATCAAATCTGTCATCGTATTGCTGTCATGAAGGATGGTCAAATGTTAACTTGCAGTAGTCCGGAAAGTTTAAAGGCACAATATGGTGGCTACTACAATGTCACCGTGTATTGTGATCAGGATAAGAAACGGGCGTTGGAAAAGGTAAGGCATTTAAAAGAGTGAATTTTGAAATGTAGAAATTCAAGAAGATTGGCATATTGAGATTTTTTAAATGAAAAATGTTGGATAAAGAAATTTGTCATTGTTAATAGTGCAAAGTAAAGGTTTTAGGTTTATGTTTAACAATATTAATTAAATGTGAAAATCACTGTTGAAGCTCTGGACTTAGACCTTATAAGTGTTTGGAAACAATTTTAATTTTTTTCTTTCAAAAAAGCAATTTTTAATGAATCAAATCTATTTGTGCACCATAGACGTATACATATTGTCAACACTAATACGCTACCTTAGACCTTAGAATATTTTTTCTTCAAAAACTCTCTAGCTTGGGGATATATAAGTATTATAATTAATATTTTCAATTATGTTACAGGAACTTCGTAGGAAATTCCCACTTGGCAAGGATATGCAACTGTATGCCCATTGTATAAAGTTTAGTATTAAAGTTGAGAATCCCATTGCAGTGAGTGACAAAGAGGTAAGCACAACTTTTCTCCTACATTTATTCTATTAAAAAAAATTTATCAATTTTATAAATTTATAATTTCCAGAATGGCATCGACTTACCCGATGAACTCAAAAAACCAGAAGACAACAACACAAATACCTCAACAATGAAGACTACCAACAACCCCAATGCTGGTGGTCATACATTATCACAATTATTCTATGATTTGAGTAATTTATCACAACAAATATCCGGTTGTGTTCGATATGCTGTCAACAAGTGTAAATTAGATGCAGTGTTCGAACGTATTTTAGATAAAAGTGAACCGAATAATTTACGACGTGGTTCTGTTTATAATGGTGTGGATATTACAACGGCTGCAATGGCGGGTAGTCCATCAACGGGTTATATACACAATGGTTACGTTGAAACGGAAACATGAAAATGAATACGTTTTGTATAGAAGGAAGAAGATATATCTATCGATAATTATATACCAGGCTGTGCCTTTAATATTTAGTAAAAACAGAAAAACAAATTTTAACGCTCAATTTTCCTATGTTTTAATGAAAAAATAAGTTTATGAGCAATGCTTAGAGCAAGGCTCTGGCAAACTAAATACTATACTATATTGCTTTATCTATTTATATATGTGTGTATGTATATTGTAACTATGATTATTATTTAAATTGCATATTTTTTAAATTATTCAATTTTATGGTAAAATAATGTATGTTACTATCACGGACTCCAGGAAATTCATGTCTCATCAATGATGTTTTAAAATTTTTATATTTTTGTCTGTATTTTCATGTTATGGGAAGATCATTAGTTTTTCGAATTTTAAGCTAAAATACATTATAAATCCTTGTATCTTTGAAGTTATTCCCAAGCCATAGGCGTATGCTTTTTGTCATCACTAATACGCTGACCTAGTGAGGGAAATTTTTTCAGTCATATCAGAAGACCTCTTTATTTTATATATTGAAAATCTATTAAAATCAAGATCTTTCAACCAAGAGGACATTTTTTGTATATATCTAGACCAAGGAAACCTTTTTTAAGGAAAACTTTTATGATATGATTCCGAGAAGATTCTGAACGTATGTTTATTCGTATAAGTTGTGTCAAAACGTATACGCAACCCTTTCTTCAAATTGTTTGTAATATGATTTCGAATGCATTCCCAACCCATATGCGTATACGTAATGCCAACACTAATACGCATACCTAGTGATGAACATTTTTTTTCTTCTGATTCTTTAAGTCTTCATATAGGGAATTCCGTTAACAATAAAGAATTTAGGCAGTAAACCCAAGACAAGTATACGTCTAACACATATATTTTAATTTAGGGAATTTTTTACTAATTTATAAAACCCAATTTCAAATTTTGTAGATATTTTCGGATATTCCTTTGTATAATATGGATTAATAACTATTAATATGGTTTTCAGAATATATGTAAGGAAAATTCAATCATATGTTAATCAAATTTTAGTGATGTACAGTTAGAAGGTATATAAGTTTGTGATCAAATCAAAGATCATTGTAAACTGAGAGGTGTTATTGACAGTCATATATATGTATTGGGATCATCAAGTCTCCAACTTTCTATCCTGTAGTAATCATTATAATATTCCCCATTTTTGTGGACCTGAATTTCATGGAATTCGTGATATTAAATGTTTTGATTCTATCCATATATTATTATTATTATTAATGTTTTTACTCTTTCTTTATTATTTTTATTTCTATTTGTCAATATTTCAGGTGAATTTGTTTCGATCTTTATTCTTTTCTTCTATTCTTCTCATGTATTTATATATTTTTGTCTGTTCTTTATTTTATTTGGTTAGGTTTTATATTAAGAAAATACCTTATGTGTAAGTGTGTTTGTGCTGAAAAAAGCTGAGCTTCTCCACATATACACACAACAATATTTTGTGATTATATTTTTATTTCTTTTAAAATTGTTAAGAAAGGTTATTTTCATCTAAGTTATCATTACAGAAATGTCGGGACCTACGATTTTCTTCCACTCCTGTAAATGTGTACTTAAGTGATTTCGTTGTTTTGACTTGTATGTATGTAGAGAATATATTTTTTTTAAATAAATTTAAATTAAAATTTGTTTAAGCTTTCCTCAAGGCATCGATTCCAGGAAAATGCCGATTTAAAACAAAGATAAGTGTCACTACAAATAATGTTGGTTATTTGTAACATTTTCGTTACATTTCGACGAAATTAAATAGGTGATCTATAGAAATATATGAACCGATTTTAATCGATCCATACACATGGTGGACAATACAATCGGACGAAAATATATATATAAGAGCTATAAAGGTGAAGTAAACAAAATGTTTTTTATGGTCTCACACAACTACCACGAAAACCTAACTTTCTGCAGTTCTATATCTGAGCCTAGGCAATATTTCGTAATACTTTCCAAACCTGGAATATTTTCCAAATCTTGTTTTGGGTCAGATCTCATTCACCGTGTAAAATATGTGATGTTCTGCTATTAAAAATAGTCTCTTACATCGATTAGAAAATCTGACAAAAGTAAAGTTCATTGCACCTCCTAAAGATCATCTCAAATTATATAAATTTTGAGTCGTCGTCCTTGACCATAACCGGAAAAAAAATTCTAAGTGATCAGCGCGACATATCCGCCTTCTAGTGGGGTAATAGTAATGCTAAACAATATCATAACACATATACACATTTACATATAATTGTTATCAATTTGAATGTAAACCATTTATCGTGGATATACTATCAACTTCTCGGGTCTATGTCATTTATGGGTAGATATATATGACCCAGAATATTTTTTTCATTTTTCACACAGAAGTCCGGGTCCATTTGACCCGGTAAATATTGACCGATCTTCATCAAAAGAATCATGCTTATACTTTGGCCAGATTCCCTTCCTGGCGTAATATATCGTAGCCTCTTGAGCGACCGGAAAACAGACAAAAATACAGTCTTTGGTCCATTTCATCCCCTAAATATTAACGGATCATTACCAAAAACAAGCATTATGCATACAAATTATAATGGTCCATTTCATCCCCTAAATATTAACGGATCATTACCAAAAACAAGCATTATGCTTACAATTTATAATGAACAGCGCACGGACAGACACACAAGTGTAGATCAACTCAACTAGTCGAGACAATATAAGCATGATTTTTTTCAATATTTTGTGAAAGCGTGGATCTTGGGAAAATATTCTATACAATGCTATATAAATTTAATAGATTACTAGCATATGTCCGATATTTCGTTAACGAATGTGGAAAGTATTTAAAACCCAGTACGGACCATTATGTATTTCCAAAACTTCCTCCATATCTAAACCCTGCACACCAATTCTGGCCGCAACAGAAATCTAGCTTTAAATTGGGCATCATTTACTCTTGTAATACCTATATAATAAATTTCAAATATAGTTTCAGACAAATTTAGTACCAGTTAGTACACATTAATATAAATTTCCATAACTGCCTTCATTAACAATTATAAGTACAAATTTCCAAAACATTTCACATATCCCAATCGTACTTCAAAATTTGTTCATTCTTAATTCAAATTGTATCAAAATTTGTGCCATTTAGTAGACATTTCCAAAAGGTCCTACTTAGCCCAATCCAACACCCCTACAGTGATCCTACTGCCACATGTCAAGATTCCAGCTATTGGCTCACCTAAGCTATTGGCTCACCGTCTTTTCCAAATTTCGGTGTTATAGCTCTATCGGTTCACCCAAATTTCCAAAACTTTCTATCAAACCCCAATCGGTTCACCAAAATCCAAATTTGGTACCATTTAGTACACATTAGTACTAATTTCCAAAACTTTCTACTTAGCCCAATCCAACACCCCAACAATGATCCTAAATCTTAATTTCAGGATCACAAAAAGTTCAACAAAGACAATCCTACACCCCTACAGTGATCCTAACGTCAATTTCAGGATTCCGGCACAATCGGTTCACCAAAATTCACATTTGGTACCATTTAATACAAATATCCATCCAACCATACATCGGTTCACCCAAAATTTAAATTGTACGAAATTTAGTTCACATTAGTATAAATTTCCAAAACTTCCTAAATAGCTCAATTCTACCCCCAACACTGATCCTAACTCCAAATGTCAAGATTATCTATCGCTTCACCCTAATTTGGTATTATATAGTACACATTAGTAAGAACTTTTAAAATTTCCTATACACTCCAATCCCTCCGATGATCCTAACTACAAACTTGAGGATCCCAGCTTTATTGGTTCACCCGTATTTGGGGTTCACCCAAATACGATTTAGTACTTTTCGTACACATAAGTAAAACAGTGAGTGGAGCAGTATAGTCGGACGGGGCCGACCATACGATACCCTACACAACCACCACAGAACTGTATCTTTCTGCGGATTTTTATTCCGAGCCTGCGTAAAATTTTGTCATAGTTGCATCCTCTCGCCCGATTAGATGTTAACAGCAACTTTTCCTTACACTGACATATTTTTCGAATATTACCAATATTCAGTACAGTCCTTCTACTTACTTGTCCATATTCCTTTCCCCATGGGTTGGCTTGGGATGTTCGGCCTATAATTGTAGCCTATAGATTGAATCGAAAAAAAAAAACACAAAAAATAAGTTTTCGGTCCACTTCAACCCAAAATTATTATTTGATCATGACCGTTTTATATGATTATAGGCGTTGTCCTTTACCATATCTGCAACCTCATGGAATATCAAACCGATCAGCGCAGTATTTCCGCCCTCCAGTGTGGTAATGTACTTCTAAATAATATCTGACTACGTAAGCACCTGTAAATATTTACGTGTAACACCCACATTCGAGTACATACGACAATATTATTGGTATCAATTTAAAGGTTAACCACTCCTCTAGGATATACTATCAATTTCTCGGTTCTACGTCCTTCAGGACATAGAACCATGTACAATATATACAATGTATATATTCATTGTAGAATAACAATTTTTTCCATTTGACCCGCTAAATATTGACCGATCTGTATCAAAACAGGCATGCTTAATTTTTGGCCCGATCCCCTTGCCCACGCGATATTTGGGCTATAATTACGGCCTCTGGAGCGACCAGAAAATCCGACAAAAAATAAGTATTTGGTCCATTTCATCCCCTAAATATTAATCGATCTTTACCAATAATAAAAGGGTCTTCATTGGCCAGAACCCATCCTACATGCAAAATTTCGTGAAGATTGGTTCATAACTGTGGCCTGTATCGTGTTTACAAATTATAATGGACAGACGGACGGACACACATGTCTAGATCAACTCAGCTAGTCGAGATATGACGATCGGTATACATAAAGGTGGGTCTAGGACCAATATTTCGCGGCGTTACAAACTCTTGGGGCTGCACAAAGCTATAATACC